GATATTGACTTGCCCAGCGACAAATTTGGTCAATCGTTAGAGAGTCAGTGTATCCCATTACACTAGGGTGGCAGTAAAAAATCAATTGGCAAAATTCTGGGCAATTGAGGAGGTTCCCAGAATACCTTCTGTCTCAGATGATGACCTTAGATGTCAGGAAATTTACGTATCAACTACTATTTGAAGTCCTGATGGGAGGTACACAATGGATTTACCCTTCCGGTCGAATTTACACTTTTCATTTTCATTCAAATCAAGTCGATAGGTTCTCTTTCACAATATTTGCATAGACAATTTTCTGTCACAGACTGTAGCATCCATTACGAACTTCAAATACGACATCTTAAACAATTTCGGTGATTTTGTACCTAAAATCGTCAAAATACCGAATATATGGATATTCCTACGCAGCCTTTGGATAAAATCTCTATCGATAAGTTGCCGGTTATGGATTTAGCTGATCCGAAATTTTACCGAAGTGCACCAGTTGATATCTTACTTGGTGGAAACGTTTATCCCATTATTTTACTAAATGAGGAGAAAAAGGATATTCTGGGTTCTTTATTGGCTCAGGAGACATTCTTTGGGTGGATATTGACTTGCCCAGCGACAAATTTGGTCAATCGTTAGAGAGTCAGTGTATCCCATTACACTAGGGTGGCAGTAAAAGATCAATTGGCAAAATTCTGGGAAATTGAGGATGTTCCCAGAATACCTTCTGTCTCAGATGATGACCTTAGATGTCAGGAAATTTACGTATCAACTACTATTCGAAGTCCTGATGGGAGGTACACAATGGATTTACCCTTCCGGTCGAATTTACGCTTTTCATTTTCATTCAAATCAAGTCGATAGGTTCCCTTTCACAATATTTGCATAACGAGACGTCACTTACGCGAAATCCCGAGCGAAATATTGATTACGACAATGTCATGTTGGAATATTTGTCTTTGGGGCATATGGAAAGGGTGGAAGGGTTAGTAGACTATCAGGACTGTTAATTTTTTGCCTCATCATGGCGTTTTCAAGCCAGAAAGTGCAACGACTAAACTAAGAGTCGTGTTTAATGCCACTTGTCCCTCACTTGACGGTAGAAGTCTGTATTATGCTTTATATGTTGGCCCTACACTTCAAAAAGATATTGTCTCGTTGGTACTGAATTGGAGAATATATCAGTTTGTCTTTAACGCTGTCCTAAATATACATAATATCAGAGGATATTGTACAGATCATCCCCAGAAAATGGCATAACTGATTATCAGTTGAAGACTGTGACATTTGGCGTCAATTGCGCTCACTATTTGGCCCTTAGGACGATTTTAAAGCTTGCAGATGATGAAGAACATCGTTTCCCACTTGGCTCTAAGATATTGCGAAACAGTATGTATGTTGATGACGCTTTAGTCGGCGTATATAATATTATCGATGGAATTGATGGATTCGAACTAAGAAAATGGACATCGAATTTCAAAGAAATTATTAAGGGACTGCCTCGGTGTGACCTCCTGAATGATGAATTTCTTGAATTGGGAGATAAAAGCTCGGCGAAAACGTTAGGTATTCGCTGAAACGCATCCTGCGACTCCTTTTATTTCGTCATGGACAAAATCGAGGAAAAAAGGTCTTTTCTTTCGCCAATCGTTGTCACATCAAAAATTCTAATGCAACAATAATGGATTGATGACATTGGATGGGACGATCCCTTAAAACCACTCTGAGGCAATTGGACAAATTAGTATTCCTCGTTAGGTAGAATATTCGCCTAATTGCAAAATTGAGTTATATGGATTTTGGGACATCGGAGTCTGCATATGCAGCAGCACTATACCTGGGGTAGAAGTTGGAATGTCTGTTGCCCCGAATTTGCTTGTGGCTAGGTGGCCCATTAAAAAAGACGTCGTTACCTCGTTTTGAGCACTGCGGTGCTCTTCTTCTTGCTGAATTGGTAGATTCAATAGTCCCACAATTAGATCTTCCTAAAGCCCCTTTGATAGCCTGGTTTGACTCGACCATCGTTCTGTCGTGGCTCAAAAAACCGCCATGTAGCTGGACAACTTTTGTTGCTAACTATTCAGGAAAAGATTGGTGGTGATTGGCGTCATGTACCAACATACGATAACCCTGCAAATTTGGCAACCCGGGGCGGACTCCTTTAGAGCTAAAGGAGTGTCATATGTAGTGGCACGGACCAAGTTGGCTCACATTGGACATAAAGGAATGGCCCTCTGGCATAATTATTCCCGAAACCACCCTCGAATCAAAACCGGCTAAACTGCATCTTGCCCCATCCGCAACATGACGTTTTGGACCGATTTTCTCATTTGTCTACAACTACTCATGCTATAGCTTACATTTTCCGCTCTGTCCGTCGAACTCATCCAAATACGAAGAAATTGTCTCAATTTTACATTAGGTTGTCGGCAGAGGTGATAAGTTTCGTCCGTTACAGATTGATGTACATCTCCCAGAGAATTCACTTTCCCCAGAAATTCGATTGCCTCAATAAGAAGTTGATGTTAGAATCTGGCAGCACTCTCTTATCTTTCAATCCTTTTCTCGACGAACACCAGCTTATCCGTGCGAACGGACGTTTAGGCAATGCTCTATCTTTGTCGTATGACGAACGGTATCCAATACTGGAAGTATGTAAAATGTATAATGGCTCAGAAGAAGCGTGAAGTTCAGCTTATGGCGGCTCTTCCTCCCGAGAGAATAACCTTCAACGGACCATTTGCCAATTCAGGCGTAAACTTTGCTGGCCCGTTTGAAATTAAAACCTTTAACGGTCGTGGGTGTCGTATATCCAAGGGATACATATGCTCCACATGTGTGTTCTTTGCGAGGCGGGGGTAAAAAGTTGTAAAGCACACTTAAAAAAGATCTCAGGTCAGATCAGACACACCTTTGAAGAGTTTGCCACAATTCTTGCCAATATCGAAAGTTGCCTCGATTCGAGACCCCTTACCCCTTTGTCTAACAATGTCGACGACTTTGGCGCTCTTACTCTAAGGCATTTTCTCATCGGAATCTCACTGCTCTCTACTGCTGAACCAGAGAGGACGGAGAAAATACCGATGCAAAACCGCTGGCGACGGTTGAGGTTCATTATACAGGAATTTTGCAGCCGTTGGAAATCAGGGAGCTACACAAGCGCACAAAGTGGAAGCAGGCTCAGGAAGACCTGCGGGTAAATGACCTGGTGGTTCTTCATATTGACTCAATAGCACCGAATGAATGGCGACTAGGCTGCGTTATAGAATTGCACCGAGGTCATGATGGCCGCGTTAGGGCCATAAACTCGTCTTACTTCCTCGTGCGTAATAATAGTCTAGCAATAGTCCAGCCAATGTTGTCTCATAGCTAACCCAATAAAATTGTCCGCAAATCACTACACATGTCCCTTCTGTCACGCTCGTCATGGTCTTAGGAACTGTCGCACTTTCCTACAATTGCCACCTACCCAAAACGCCGTTTGTGTGACCGTTAAGGAGTACTGCGCCAACTGTCTTGGAATGTTGCCCCATAACACCATGTTGCACGCGCTCGATGAAACCGGAAAGGAGTGGTTGAAAATGACGCCGGCGAAACTTCTACATATACCTGAGCTCATAGACCCCCCGATAAAGGTAAGGGTGTATATAAACCCGTTGAAGACCGAGAGTACCATAAGTTTCGGTGGTCCACTTCCTGCATTTAAGCTAGAGTTCGGAGCTTCGGTTCGTGTGGTGTTGACTTCTATGAGGAATCGGGTCCTCACATATACCGGCACACTATAGCGACGCCGTAAATCACCACGCACTATGCCCAGTCGTCCGCTCGATTTACGTTACCAGTCTTCAGACCTAACTTGCCGTATGCCCAAAAACCATATTCGGGTGGACGTTCTTTGGAGAAGTTCCAGTCAACCGTTCCCAAATTGAGATACCTGACTCCACGGCATTTTTAACTAGCATTTTTAATTTCTAACGTTACCTCACAACAAGGCTGGACCTTGCAACTATTAATTGAATTGCAACATTGACATTCATTTTTAGTTAAGTAGTCATGAATTCACAATTAATCTGTCATATGTATAGTTAGTTGGAAACTAGTCCCAAGGGGTGGAGGATGTTTATGCAAGAAAACGCTACATTGCAACACTTGCAAATGCGTTTTCCACTCCCCAATAATTACGGCGATGGATTAATCCGACTTCGTTTTGTTGTCTCTGACTCTACCTCTACTTTTTGCGTGTATGCAAAACAAAAAAAGAAATAGTCTAGTTATAGAATGCACACAGCCGCATTGGCATCTTCAGTTTAAAAACAACCACCAAAAAGCCAAACACCGCAAAAAGAGAGGAAGAGCTCAGTGCAATTTTATTTTTTGTTTCGTTGACCCAACAAGCTAAATTGGCATGTGCCAATAAATATTGTTATAATCCAAATTAAATAGTAAAACAAATAAAAATGCATTTTAATTAAACTTTTTGTGTGAAGTTATTGTTGGGAAAAGGTAGTTCGCGCTAAACAAAAAAACACGAATTTCGGTTGTCTCAAAAGCATGAAAGCCAACGGAGACACATAACAAGATTATTCCAGAGGAGACGAGTGTGAGCAGACCGAGCTGACCAGGAAAGTGTCTTTCGTGGTTGTCAGCTTTTGTAAGTTGGGTTAGTGACCCAAACAGTTAGCATTTATTTATTTCGGATACCGTAATTATTTTGTTGTTCCAAAAAATCTGTCCCAATACCTTTATTATTTTTATTTCCTCCACTGATAAGTAATAATGTTACGCTATACGTAAAATTATTTTAGCAGTTTGGCGGACCAATGGGCATTAACAGAGTATATCGGCGACATATAGAACACATCACACATCATCTCATACGTATGCTCGATATGTACTGCGAACATTTCGATTTTGCGTGATTGAAGCACAAAAAAATATTTTTAAATTTGTATATAGATATAAACTAATTATTATAAATCTAAATATATACATATTTTTTCTCTTTTTAGGTTCGCTTAACTGTTTTAACTGCACCAAAACTAACTCCAGAACTTTTCGAGATTAAGAAGATTTTGGGTCTAACTCTTATAAAGTTTGAGGATGCAATTATAGAATTCGATAAATTTTCCGATAGACATCATTTTGAAACTTTTGATACATACTTGAAGGCTGTGAAAATGCACTACGTAAATCAAATCAAGTGGCACGCAGCATCTATACTAGGAAGTGTAGATTTTTTGGGAAACCCTCTTGGATTTGCAAATGACTTATCCGAAGGTGTTTCTGGTTTAATATTTGAAGGTTCAGTTAAAAGTCTGGTTAAGAACGTAACACATGGCATTTCCAATTCTACAGCAAAATTAACGGAAACGATTTCCCATAGCCTTGGGAAAGTAGTTCTAGATGAGAGAGACAATGAAACCAGACAAAAAATACTTGAAGTTAGTTACCCGACAACAGGAGGACACTTAGCTGCGGGATTAAAAGGATTTGGTTTTGGTCTACTTGGTGGAGTAACAAGTATTGTTCGGCACACTTATATTGGTGCTCAATCGGATGGATTTCCAGGATTTATAAGTGGACTTGGAAAGGGCCTTGTTGGTACGGTAACGAAGCCTTTAATTGGTGTTCTCGATTTGGCCTCGGAAACTGCAAGTGCTGTTAGAGAAACTAGTAGGGGATCACATCATTTTCTACCTGACCGAAAGCGTCTGCCAAGATGTGTAACAGGTGCTCCAGGCGGCCTTTTACCCAATTACTCATACAGGCAAAGTAAAGGACAACAATATCTATATATTATTAACCGCAGAAATTTCTCAGAAAAGTTGATATTTTACGAACCGAACTTATGCAATGACAAGGAAGCTAAGTTAAGGCTTTTGGTTTCTACGGAATTCATTCGTATTTTTTCAAGATGCGAAGAAGATCCAGCGATAATGATTGAGTGCCACTTAAGTGAAGTTCTCTCGTGTCATCCACTTACTACTAGCACAAATGTTTTGAGTTCGACAAAAATTGTTCCCGTATACTATATAGAAATTTCGACAAACTTGCCGAAAGTTACGCGCCCACGGGTGCGGTGTCAAAATGAAAACGTCGCTGAAAGGGCATCTAGATGTGTAAGTATTAATTATAATAATTTAAATTTTCTGTATTCATTAAAACAATTGAAGCGCTTGAACATTATTTAGTATGACATGAATATTTTAAAAAATAACAAAAAAAATCCTCTGGATAACTATATTATACTCTGCACCACTCCGAAGAATTGGCAGGCAATATTTTTCATAGCATAGAAACTTTCTAAACGGTGTTACAATTATCCCAACGCCACTCTCACTCGCCCCCGCCGTCCGAGGGTGGGGGCAACTCCCAAATACGTAGAATGTTTCATTTACATCCCAATCTCATCATCTGAGTGCGAATAAAAGGGATTGGCTTTATACTGATTGCAATGTAGTATTATATGTTTTATAAAAATGACTCCATAATACGCAACCGTATTCTAGAGTGGGTCGAATCAGGCTAATAATGCTATAAATGCTTGGCATCACACCATTAGTACTGCACCAATTTACAAGGGAGTAGATATCATGTTGCAAACAAAGGGACCTAATGTGAGAGTTAATATTGCAAAAAAGTTTAACATCATCACCAAACATTAGGACTTATGAATAAAGTATAAACGTAGTAAGGTCATTTAGATATAGTACAAAAAGTTGTGAACCTAAATGGCTACCATGAGGGACACCAGCGTACAAATGTAAGCGTTCACAAAGAACATTGTTGAAAGAATCTCTCCGTGTACGACTTTGCAAATATCATTATATCCATGATAAGAATAATGTTGCGAAACCCATTTTGTCAAGTTTTTATAATAAAAATGTATGATCAACTTTAGCGTTTTATTGAAAAGCCTTTGTGCGCATGACATATAAGTCCTAATAGATTGGTTATATTTCGCCTACTCTTTACAAAACCATGTTGGTAAGGCGATATTATAGGTTAAACTACCATTGCGGTATTGCACTTAATTTGCAATACCCCTGTAATTTTCGACGACATTTCTATAATAAGCTTTATACAAAGGAATAATTAAACTAGATTGTCATACTTGAGGAAAATAACCATATGCCAAATAATCGTTAAATATAGTGGTTAGGGATGAGAAAAGTTCATATGCACATGACATGAAAATGTGGGCTGGTACTCCATCAGGGCCAGGGGAACTACAACTTTTTAGCAATAGTAGACCATTTAAAACTCCTCCTCAGGGAGAATAATTTGGGTAAATAATTTAATCTACGAATATTATAAGTGTTATTACCATAGTAATATACATATACGTATTTAGTAAAAATTCTGCGATCAAATTTGATATTTCAATGTGGTACCCTGATTTCCTACAACCAATTTTGAAGTTACTAAGAAATTCGCGAAATTTACGTTTTTAATTGACAAATTTTTTTCTTCTATATTTATCATTTTTCATATATAATTCGAATAAGACTTCAAATATTCAATATTATATTTATTTCGAGATTTTAAATAATTTGTATAATGTTAAGTGGTATTGCATTTTTTGAATTTTTTTAAATTACCTATTTTTTTATGTTACGCAAGCGCCTACGATGGTACTGATAGAGCTAACGCATTATTAAGTGCTCTGTCAAAATTTAAAATTTACCTTTATGGACAATGTAGAACAAAGGAGATCAATATTCGTCTTAGAAAAATGTAAATTGTGAGGTTTAGTCTGTATTTTTGCACAGTTAGGTGATAATTTTCTTCCGGCTTCACTAAAGGTGGACATGTACTTAAGGAGGTACAAATATTATTTAGTTGACACAGATCTTTGTCAAAAAAAACTTAGCTTAAAATAGCCCATATCATAGACTATACTATTGACGAAACAGGTACATAATGTTCCGCATCATCATCTAGAATCCGCGATAAAATCGCCAAGGCAAATTAGTTCAGAATTTGACGAGTGAATATGTAAAACTTCTTTAACTTGACTATCAAAAATTATAACAGGCCCGGAGGAACCCCTCCACCAACTTTATTTAATCTATCATATCTAAAAAGTTGGTATTGATCAGATAAGATTTTAGTATCACGGATATCCGGTTAAAGCCAAGTTTATGTAAAATCAAGTATTTAAGAATCAGATTCGAAAGACTTTGAGTATGCATTTTTAAGTTTAGTGTTTAGGCCTCTAACATTTTGGTAAAGACATACATTTATTTATTTATTTATTTATTTTTTTAGTTTTACAAAATTAGGTCTTTCTCCAAATTCAAATTCTTTAACCACTCTGTCATCTGGCCAAAAACATAAATTAACATTAAATCATAATATGATGATATATCACGTGGGGTATATGTATAAAATTTAAAAAAATTATAATCCTTATCAGGAATATTTTGAATTTTAGTCTTGGTATATTATATTTACGGGATTATTATTTACAGAAGTACTAGGATTTAGTTTAGAAACAAATATGCTTCTAATGGGAGTAACTACGATTAATTCGTTATTACTAGTAGAAGAATTTTTTCTGAATTTTTCCATATATTGAAGTTACTGGTATAGTGGAGTGCCATTTCAGTTGTATAATACGTAGGTAAGGTATACATGCACTTTTTTGATCACATCGTGGACTGTTTTCAACGATAAAATATAATATTGCTGCAAAATAGTTAGGCATAATCCCATAATTGTTGCTTTTATAAAAACAACGTTTATTTATAAAGATGGTAATGTTCACGATCTTGTCACTTAGGTAAAAATATGTTGTCGTAGGAGTTATTTGAAAATAAAAAAAATATTCAGCGTAATCGTTTTCAGAAGACCTGTTTCAAATATGTATTCCAGCTTAAGGTTAAACTTTCCGGAAGCAGCACTGGCTGGCTCTACTTTTAATGCCACATTATGCGAATTTTCCCGTATTGAAAGCCGTTAAACTAACCATTGTTGGCTTCGTTATTTGCGTTGCCCCTAGAGGCAATATCTTTCTTAAGGTCGAAGTAAATAAATATAGCTTTGTTTTTTATAACATCCTTGTTCAGTAAAATGCTTCGCCTGTTTTGACCATGTATCCACATTGAGAGAAGAGAGTCCATCTTAACCAATAAGGTATTTATTGCTGCTGTATCTTGTTTAGATTGCCACTAACAGAAAAGTGTTCGTTCCAACACTTCTACATATAATAGTAAAGGCGACGATCAGTGTTGTCAAACTTTTTTAAAATTCCTAAGATTCAGAGGCGACTCGAAATTCAACAATACAAGTAGGATTTTTTTCAGAGGCGATGGTCAGTGTTGTCAAACGTTTTTAAAATTTCTAAAAAATCATACCTACACAACTCAAAATTCAACGAGGAAAGTCGGATTTTTCAAAAAAAAAAAAAAAAAAACGGACGTTGAATTTCGAGTTGTGTAGGTATGATTGTTTAGAAATTTTAAAAACGTTTGACAACACTGACCATCGCCTCTGAAAAAATCCTACTTGTATTGTTGAATTTCGAGTTGTTTAGGTCTTAGGAATTTTAAAAAAGTTTGACAACACTGATCATCGCCTTTACTATTATATGTATAAGTGGTGGAACGAACACTTTTCTGTTAGTGGCAAGAATAGAACAGTAAAAACAATTGGCAGAGGGAGCTGCAGCGATAAAATAAATCATTAAGGTAATTTTACCACAGGACTCTAATCTAAACAAGATACAGCAGTAATAAATACCTTATTGGTTAAGATGGACTCTCTTCTCTCCATTTGGATACATGGTCAAAACAAGCAAAGCATTTCACTGAACAAGGATGTTATAAAAAATAAAGCTATATTTATTTACTTCGACCTTAAAAATATATTGCCTCTTGTGGCAACGCAAATAACGAAGCAAACAATGGTTAGTTTAACGGCTTTCAATACGGACAAATTCGCATAAAGTGGCATTAAAAGTAGAGCCAGCCAGTGCTGCTTCAGGAAAGTTTAACCTTAAGCTGCAATACATATTTGAAACAGGTCTTCTGAAAACGATTGCTCTGAATATTTTTTTTTATTTTCAAATAACTCCTACGACAACATCTTTATTACCTATATGACAAGATCGTGAACATTACCATCTTTAAAAATAAACGAGGTTTTTATAAAAGCAACAGTTATGGAATTATGCCTAACTATTTTGCAGCAATATTATATTTTATCGTTGAAAATAGTCTACGATGTGATAAAAAAGGACATGTATACCTTACCTACGTATTATACAACTGAAATGGCGCTCCACTACACCAGTAACTTCAATATATGGAAAATTCAGAAAAATTCTTCTACTAGTAATAACGAATTAATCGTAGTTACTCCCATAAGAAGTATATTTGTTTCTAGACTACATCCTAGTACTTCTGTAAATAATAATTCTGTAAATATATATTATATATATAATAAAATTCAAAATATTCTTTATAAGGATTATAATTTTATCAAATGTTATTCATAACTTATAATTCTTTAGGGTACTGAATACTTAAACTAGTTGACTATATAAATATACTACTTAAGTTACTAATTTGTATAATCTAATATTACTATAATATGCTCTTACACTTGGCAGAGCAGCCCTGGGCCTCCCTATTAATATCATCCAATCACCCAAGAATGTAAAGAAGCTTTCGAGGCATTAAAACAACATTTAACCTCAAGCCCAATTTTGGTCATATACAGCCCCAGTAGGGAGACAGAGTTGCACTGCGACGCGAGTTCATCGGGTTTTGGATCGGGTTTAATGCAAAAGCAATACGATGGGGTCTTCCATCCGGTGGCGTACTTCTCTGAAAGAACCACGGATGTAGAGACAAGGTACCAGAGCTTCGAGCTAGAAACTTTTGCCATTATCTATTCTTTGAGGAGATTAAGGGCATACCTAAAAGGGATAAAGTTCAAAATATTAACGAACTGTAATTCACTGGCTCTAACACTTGCAAAAAGGAATATTAATAGCCGAACAGCAAGGTGGGCGTTAGTGACAGCTACCGTAGAAATAGGAGATATAGACTTTCAGTTATGCGCAGCCCAGGCTAGAGACAAAGAAATAAATGAACTGAAGGACACACTAGAG